AACCCACCCTGCAAAACCCTGTATGTACTCACTCAGAAGCAGAAAGCAGCACCAGGCAGTCCGAAGCCTCTCTGCAAACACACACACTCTAACCAATGGGGCAAAAGAGCTACAAAGCAGCAGCCTGTTTGCCGACCAATGGTTAGTAATTTAAATTCCCTGCCTTTTTCCCAACCTTTTTTTCGGTCATACTGTAACTCAAAGCTCTAGTCTCAAGTAGAAGCAAAATTTGGCAGCCGGAGCTGGTCGTAACTCGAAATGGTTGTAAGTCGGGATGTTCATAAGTCGAGGCACCACTGTATAATGTATGCTTGCCTGAGGAGAGAGCGGGCAGTCCTTCCACAAGCTTAAACTCTTGATTGCCATGTCCGCAACTTTAAACTCTCTACCAATTGATGCACTTGTACTTTTTGACCCAACTAGTGAAGCTAGGCAGAATCTGCCACAGTTTATTACATTCTTCAAAGTGGAGGGAGGGAGGCTAGTTTTCGGCACAATCAGGCTGCTGCACCATTTGAAAGCTATGGAGTCTTTGTAGACCTCCAAATCTCAGAGATGAATGCCAACATGCTAATGAAGAAGGCACAGAAGAGGCTGTATTTCCTGAGAATGCTTAGCAAGTTAAATTTATCTCAGCATTTACTTCTGTCATACTATCGTAGCACCATTGAGAGTGTCCTAACCTATGCCAGTCTGGCATGGTTTGGGAGTAGCTCTGTAGCGGACAAAAAAGCTCTACAGAGAACCATTAAAATTGCCCAGAATATCATCGGGCTCCAGCTACCAACCCTGGATGATATCTTCACATCCCGCTGTCTGAGGAAGTCACACAGCATCCTGAGAGACTCTTCCCATCCTGCTTATAACTTTTGTGAACTGTTACCGTCTGGCAGAAGATATAGAACAATTAAGACTCGGACCACACGTTTTCTGAATAGTTTTTATCCCAGAGCTATAATTGCAATTAATAATGAGCTTAAAGACACCAGTAGTGAATTGCTACCTGGTCTGCGGTGTAAATGTTTGTATTTTTAGTGGGGGACTTTTGTGGGCGGGGAGTGTTTGGGGAATGTTATGTGTGTGCATGTGTGTGGTCTCTGGGTGTCTGTGAATTTTGTTGTATGGGTATACTGTGTATATACTTACAATGACAATAAATTATTATTATTAATACATGTTGTTATATGCTGCCAAGTCACCTCTGCTTTATAGTGACTCTAAGAATGAGAGATCTCTGAAATATCCTGTCCTCAACTGCCCTGCTCAGTTCTGGTAAACTCAAGGTTGCGGCTTCCTTTAGGGCAGTGGTCCCCAACCTTTTTGGGACCGCGGACCAGCTGAGTCTCTGAGGAAGGTGGGGCACCCCCCTGCACTCACACATGCTTGCTCTCAGGCGCATGCACCCTCTCTTGGGTGCATGAGCCCGCCGACCCCTTCACGTGGGCACCCAGGCGCATGCGTGAAGGGGTGGGAGAGCACACTCACGCTAGCACTGGCACGCATGTGTGTGCGCAAAGCAGCTGTGGGGAGGGGAGTGCATGCAGGGGGCGGGAGGTCTGTTTCCATGGCCCGGTCCAGCTCAGGCCACGGACTGGCACCAGGCCACAGACCGGGGGCTGACAACCTCTGCTTTAGGGAGTTGATCCATATCATTTTGACGTCTTTTCATGCTGCCTTCAACCTTTCCCAGCATTACTGTCTTTTACAGAGAATAAAGCGTGCTGCTTTTATACCACCCCACAGTACTTAAATGCACTCTCTGGGCGGTTTGGAAGTTAATAATGCAGGCTATCCCACTGCACCCCCAGCAAGCTGGGTACTCATTTTACTAACCTTGGAAGGATGGAAGGCTGAGTCAACCTTGAGCCAGCTACCTGGGCTTGAACCCCGGGTCATGAGCATAGCTTTGGCTGCAGTATCGCAGTTTAACCATTGCACCACGAGAATCCTCGTGATATGCCCAAAGTAGGCCAGCCTCAGTTTAATCATTTTTGCCTCCAGAGATAGTTCAGTCTCGATTTTATCTAGGACCCACTTGTTCATCTTTCTGGCAGTCTAAGGTATCCAGAAAGTTCTCCTCCAACATCATATTCCAAATAAACCATTTTTATGTCAACATTCCTCATTGTCTAACTTTCACATGCGTACATAGTGATCAGGAATACAAGAGTGTGGATGACCTTGGCTTTGGTCTCCAGTGATACATAATCTGACTTGATTGTTTCTAATTCTTTCATTATTACCTTTCCAAGTCTCCATTTTCTTCTGACTTCTTGGCTGCAGCTTCCATGTCATCATAAACTGATCATTGTATCAAGATATGCAAGATCTTTAACAATTTGTTTCTTCATTCTCAACAAAGTTATGTCATTTTTTGTAACCAGGATTTTTATCTTATTATTTAATTGTAATCGTGCTTTAGCATTTTCTCCTTTCACTTTCACTATACTGTAAGTTGTTTCAAGTCATTGCTGCTTTCTGCCAGGAAGATGGTGTCATTCTGCATATCTTAATACATCAAATACATGACTGGTATATTTATAACCCATAACCAGGTGAGAATACATATAAGTGAATAATTTGTGAAAACAGGAAGCTGTTCATTACTTCAGTTAGTAGGTCCTAGCCAAGGCAATAGCAGAAAGCTAGACTGATGAGGCTGTCATAGAAATCAGAAGATATATTTCTGGGACAAAAGTCAGAATTTGACAAGGGAGGCAATTCTTCTACATTCATAAAATATTGCAGAAAGCTGGGATGCAACATTAGGCACCAAAGTGGTTTGGAGTAGCACAAAAGAGAGATTAGTATCTGCATGTAACAGTACTCTTCAATCATCTCCTGCTTTCACACATGCATGCATTAATATACTGTATGTTATTATTATACGCAGTATGTTAAGAAGCCTTGAACTCTATTGAGGCCCAGTTTCTAAGCAGTATATAAACACATAGAAAATACACATGATGCAGGATGCAAACAGCAAAATGGAACAAAGTACAAACCATTAATAAGGAAATTCTTTCTTAACAGAATGCATTTCAGCTAAGCAAACATCCGCTTTCCAACATTCATTGTTATTCCTAGAGGTAAAATAATATCTCTAAACAAAATGTTAATGAGATAACTGAAGCCTACTGTTGCATGCAGACACTAGCATAATCTCTCAATAGTGCTCCTCCAAACCACTTCTGTGTCTAATGTTGCATCCCAATGTATACTTATTTGGGAATTAGGTCTTACTGAACTCTGTGAGATTTAATTATGAGTAAATATGCACATGATTTTATTGTCATTTTGTAATGCACATTTTTATACAAATAAGTCAAAGATCCACAAAAGGTGTGGAATACACAGTCTGAACAGTCTTTCCCAGTCTAGTGCCCTCTAGACATTATAGACTACGATTTCTACCAGAGCCAGCCAACAGTGTCTTCCCTGTGGAATAAGGGAGTTGTAGTCAAACACATTTGGAAGGCACTGGATTAGAAAATACACCAGTTATTCCTTGGTACAATCTGCCCACCAAGCCTTAGATATCAAATTTCTTGTCAGATAGGTTTTTTGTAAGACAACTTCAGTTAATGAAAATCATAATTTGAGAAGCTTACATTAAATCTTCATATAGTGAAGTCTGGTCCTCCTCCTCTTCTCCCCAGGAGATAACCAAACACAGGGTTCATTACAAGTGTGATTGCTCAGGCTTGGAGCTCTGAGGAACCCCACTGCTGGAGAACACACAGTGCTATCTGATTTTAAATGGAAGGTAAGCATGTTGTGTAGTTTGGCCCTCAGTTCAATAGATATGGATAGAGCGTTGAATTAGGACTGGGGAGTCCCATATTCAGATCCTGGCCATGAAGCTCACTGGGGTGACTTAAATAAGTCATAGCCTGGTTTGCAAATCACGGTGTCAATTTATTATGTATTGATTTACTATTTACATTTATATACCACTCATCCATTAGTGGGCCACTACTCTGGGAGGTTCACCACAAGAAAATAACCTATCCCACTCCACACTAATTGAAAATACCAAATAAATCTCATGAGATCTACCATGGCAACAACTAAAATAATAATAATATGTACAACCAGAAAGCAATCCATTAAACTTGCATTGGCATTGGCCCACAGGGGGAGGATGCTATTGAAGGCCTCTTCAAAGCGGACGGATTTAACAAGCTTTCTAAAGGTCAGTAGGGAGAGAGGCTGGTGTCCATCTAGAGGCAAAGCATTCCTGAGTCTTGTAGTCACAACCAAGAAGGCCCAATTCCTAGTTGTCGTTTTTTGAGCCACCCTCAGGGTAACCACCCACAAGGAAGCCTAAGAAGAATGGGTGGCACAGGTGTAAGACCTTAAGGAGACACATTCTGACAGGTAAGAAGTTTCAGAGAAAGATGAACTGTTTGAAACTCTCAAAAGTGCTTCAATAGAACATAAAACATTACAGAGACTACATTCATTAGGTATTCATAATACAGTGGCCACCAAAGCTCCCCAGACGTTGTGGTAATAATGGATTTTGTGACTGTTGTGAACAGAAGAAGAGTAACTCTTAGTTCTTTCCATTATTATTTTTATCTGAAATAATGTTTATTTATTTTGTGGTTTGTTTAAACTTATACCCCACCCATTTAGTAGACAAGCCACTACACTGGGTGGCTTCCAGTAAATAACAAAAATGTACAACACAACATTTTTTTTAAAAAGCATGGAAAAACAAACGCCTGTTTGCCAAACCAAGGGCCAGCATAAACTCAGTACAAAATTAATATTGCAAAGGGGTGAGGTTTGTAAAAGCCTGGGTAAAAAGCCAGGTTTTCAGTTGCTTACAGAAGCAATGTCTATTATTTTTTTAAAAAAAAACAAACCCTAAAAGGATCACATACCCCATCCATTATGCCACTTGCTATGTCACTGTGGAACAGAAAACTGCTGAGAAATAAACAATACTGTACCCTGTGATTTCCAAAATTATCATCAAGATGAAAACCAACCTGAGCAGTGCTGATATATTTTAAGAGCCTGAGGGCTTCATTCCTCAGTGATGGTGTAGAACTTGCCCAGGGCTGCAAGTCTATGTGCCAACGTATGGTCTAGAATTCCAAGAAAAGAGAGAGGGGGAGGGGGAAAGGATCAATAAAAGCAGGTATAAGCCTAATTCACTAAAAGACACTCCTAAAGACAGATTCTTTGAATTTCATTATTTTATGAAACTGGTGGTAAAGCAGCAATAAAAGACAGAAGAAGCCAGTGGGAGGTGGCATTCACTTTTGCATTAATTTTTAAAAAATAATTATATAAAGAGATATGACGAGTCTAGATGAATCAGTTTGTAAAAGCAGAAAAATAAAAGAAACACTCTTTTTTAAAAGCTTCTATTTGCCAATATTATTTGTTTTGAGTACTACCTAATTTTGACCCCAAGGCTAACATGCAACTGAAAAAAAAAGATTCTTCAAAAGTTTAACAATGTCAAAACACGTTTCATAAGGACAACAGTTCTGAAGTACTCTAAAGCTTTAATTAATTTTATTTGTATGATCAACAGATCAGATGTACTCTAAAGCTTATGTGCTTCTATAGTATTTGGGGTTGATGTCTCCTAGAAGAAGAGCCAGCCTGTGTAGCCTTTGACAAGCTGCACAGTCTCATGGTGCCCCTAGAAGAAGGGAATGGTAAACCACTTCTGAGGACCCAAAATCCCGGAAAAGGTTGCCATAAACTGGATCAACTTGACAGCTTGTGGTTGTTAATAAAGGTATTGCCCACATGCACTTCAACAAAATATGGTCATCTCTTCCCTGAGATACCTTTGGGGCTAGATTTCTGAGGGAAGAATAAAGAAGATAAAACTCAAGAGTGTTCCACATCTGTCCTTGCCAGCCACCTGCAATGGTGGAGACTAATAAAAAAACTTGCAAATTTGAGCTTGGCAGAGAATCATTAATTAGCAAGGTACAAAGTTGCCTTAGGCTGAGTCCACTGAGCCTTATACTGTCAACACTGATTGGAAGTCTTTCTTGAAGGTTTCAGTCGGGGATCCAGGGTGGTCTCCTGTCCAATTATTAATCAGATCTGTCCCTGCATAGCTTCCAAAATATGACAAGCTTCAAAATGTGGCAGGAATGACAGTTTTCCAGGATGTCAGAGTTGGACTTGGTACCTTCTGTATTCAAAGCATGCCATCTACCCCAACGCAGCATCTGTATATTTTCTACAAAACTAAACCAGCCTGTATGTGTCTTCAGGAGGGCTGCAGTGATACAGACATGCTATTTATCTGAAGCAAATCTTTGCTGACAGTATGAAGGAAGTGGGAAGCCAAGGGTATGTGTGGCACAACAGAGCACCTTACGTTGAACAGAACTCCCTGAAGTGGGCTTCTGTAAATCTTACCTTCCATCCGCAAGATGGTATTTGGCACCTGTAGAGAAAGATGTGTTCCCCTTACCCACCTAGCCCAAGATTGTTTCGTGGTGTACTGAGCCATCCAGTGTTGTCGCCCACAGCATTGTATGATCTCATTTTTATCTCTAGAGAAAGGTAGTTTCAGTTGATGCTTTTTGTAATCTTTGTGAAGCCTGTCAGCTCAAACCTGCGAGATCTTGTCAGCTTAACAAATAACATTTAACACATAAAGTAGGACAGGAAAGAATCTGAGAAAGTGTGCTTGAATAACCAAGGGAATTGCAGACACATCCCCAACCTGCCCTGGCCCTTCTTTCCCTTGGTGCAATCTTTGTCATCATGTTAGAGTCTTCCAACAGCGAGAAGAGGTGTAAATGGCCAGTTTTTCCCCCTCACAATGTTCTCTTCAATAAAGAGCCAAAGTATCTGGTTGCAGCAGAGGAAGAGATGAGGATCAAACTTTGCACTATGGACAATTTTTCATTAGAACTGAAATTGCATTCATGTTGCATACATGATTTGACCACATTTTTAGTCAGAAAAATTAGACTTGCAAAGGAAAAACATGCATGTGGCCTAAAAACTTATCACAAAACCAAGCAAAATAATTAAACAAAATACAGGAGGTAAGACAAGCTCCTGCTGTTGCAACTCACATACAATCAGCCCTTAAGTAATTCTTTCTTCTAGTGACAGGTTATCTGTACCGTACATTTTCAACCCACTGTTGATCCTGATCCATTGTCTCAGCTGAGATATCAACAGGCTATTTCTTTCTCTTAGCTCTGTTCTTCCAAGTTGGTCAGGATAAGAATGAGAAAAGAAACCATGCCCGAACAGGGTATTCCACTGTACTGTGTGCACCAGCCCCGCTCCAATGTCCCTCATCCCTGCTTGGCACACCCATGACCTTCCTGTATTGATGTCTGAAAAGAATGCTCATTCCGCCAAAATGCATGAGGCACCCTCCGTCTTTCAGATTTTTGGAATGGTGCCACAATGCTTACTGGGAGGAAGCGGCCACAATGCTTTCTACGAGTGGTACTCTTACTGCTCTCTAGGCTTTACAGAGGGTGCCTCTCAAAAAACTGGTGGCAGAAATGAAGGCCTTGAATGCCAGACTACCCTCATCTCTAGGGTTTCAAGCAGGAACCTTTCCTACCCTACCCGAATATCCCTCACGTCCCTTGGTGTCTCCCAATCAAGTACTAACCAAGTACTAACTAGACATAGCCTTGCTTCACTTCTGAAATCAGACAAGATTAGGATTCATCCATGGCACTGACTCCACTTCTTTGGGACTAACCATAGGATTTCTCCCTTGATTTCCCCTTTGGGATGTAGAAGGTGACTTCGTTTCTTTCATGGAAACATCTGTCTTTTACAGCAGTAAAAAGAGAAAAGTAACCAAACACAAAGTATTAAATTCTTAAACAACAAAGAGCCTGGATACTATCTCCTTGGGTCTTCCACTGAGAAACATGGCAGAGATATAAGTGAGCATTTTAGCAACATTTTCTGATTCATGCAAGGAAACAGAGAGGTGGCAGGGAGGGGGGGGATGATGTAATGAGGTGAAATCGGGAAAGTTCAGAGACAAGAGGAGGCTGGGATTCAGACCAGATCCACATCCATGAATGGACATTGTGATTCATAATTTTGCAGCTTAAATAAACACAGGCTTGCCAGGAGCCAAAAAAAAAATCTGTGCAGAGCTTTTTGTTTGCTGACAGTAGAGTCCCTCTCCCATTCAAATTGTATGGTGATGATAAAAAGAACTTTTTAGAAATATTTTCAGGCACAGACAGAAAGCCAACTTTTTCCATCACTTAAATTGTTCTCTTGGACCCACTACAATTTTTTCCATTACGGTCAATGAATGAATGTGGATGCCCTTCAGAACAGAAGCTAAAGGACCAGCTCACAACATCTATCAGTGCTAGCTCATTTCTAAGCAATAGTGCTGAATTATATGGACCCATTGGGAGAGCAAAGCACTAAGTCTTTCAAAATCACTCAAAGCTTTCCTGCAGTCAGGGAGCATTTGAGGAAATTCAAAGGCTGGAAATGTGACAGATGTGAAGGCAGAGAGATGAGAACGAGAACTGACAATACTTTCCCAGGCAAAGAAGCAAGGACATATACGCAAACGTGGCCAGTTAATTCAGAAATTTATTAGCAGCGGTACAAGCACCACACAAAAGGAAGGGCACTACAACATATACCAACAGCTACCTTTATTTTACTTTGTTCAGAAATTACTTGCAAAGGGGAGATAGATCTGCAACAAATTGAATTTGTATTTTTTTTTTTAAGTGGAGGAATCGTTTTCATATTCTCCACCTTCCTGAGAAGAATTTTGTTCCATGGCAGAGACATTTTTCTTTCAAGGATGCAGACATAGGCTGTTTCATAGTATCTATGGAATCATATGTATATGGAGACTGAATAAGGACAGAGAGGAAGCAGATACAAAGTCAAACAGTGCGACACCAGTCCAACTGGGGGAAAAGTAACATAATTCTAGTTTCAGTACTGTAGTTCAAAACTGCCTTATCCTGAGCAAATTGCTTTCTGCCCTACCTACTACTTTACACAGCTCCAAGGACTTTTTGCCATTTTTAAGTAAAGGCAAGCACCAAGGTTCACAAAATAAACTACTGCTCACCATTCGTCAGCCTCTACAAACATATAAAGAGGAATTTTGTTTTGTGCATTACAGGAGCACTTAGATTAACAAAGCCCCTAGAAATCTGTGAAAAGAGAGTCATAGCTGCCCATTCCAAGATTTTAAAGCATTCAGAGGAAGTAACTGGGAGGATTAATGGATACTCTGGAAGCTACCGGTGTGTCAGAGGGAAAAGGCAGCATGATCCTATGGAGCCCTTAAGATGGAATACTTTCTCAAAAGATATATTATTAGTGGTGTTTTTAACTGGATCCTGGTTTAATTTTTTTAATGACATGGACTACAAGCCACTTTGGAACGGTCCAGCAACATCTGGAAGAGCACACACTCCACATCTCTGGAGGACAGTTAACCAGGATTGCCAGCAGCCTGAAAGAGTGGGGGAAATGGACAGAGAATGCAGCCCCCTCTGCACCCCAAGAAGGTTTGACACCCACTGGTTGGTCAAATGACAAGGGTGGAGCATACTGGATGCAAGGTATGCTGGGACTCACAATCTCACTGCCCATTAGCCTTTTAGAGGGCACTTCCCAAAAAAACTATGATTCCCAGGAAGCGCTGTGTCGGCTTCCAGCAGTTGAGCAATATAAACTCTCCATTGGAAACTGCTAGTTATTAGAGTGATTCTTGCTTACAGCTCCCAGGAAGCTTTTCCCCCCCACAATTAGAACCAGAAAGCAAAGGCCAGAAGTGTGGCAGCATCAAGGGCAAGTCACCTGAAAGCCCTCTTTTAGTGTGTGTGTGTGGGGGGGGGAGGTTTGAAATATAGGCATCTGGTCATTTGTGACTTTGGGCCCTGAATCCTGCCTGGGGAGTTCTTGGGGAGCATTCTGGGATTTGCAGTCCAAAAATACATAACACCCCACCCTCTACTTTCTCTTAAGAAGACCACATGCTCCTCAGGATAGTCCTTCTCACATGGAGTCCCTCCCTGCAGCCATGCATCCCATTAGTGAGGGCTGAATTCTTGCCTTCAGCCTGCATCATCCCTGTGGC